GTACTGAAAGGAGATAAGCGGACTTAGTCATCCAGCCCTGCAGTCCCAAAACAGACAAGAAAGAAAAGTTATGCAGGGCTGCTTGCCCCAGAAAAACAGCCTCCTGGAAAGACGGAAAATAAAAAGTTTGGAAATTTGAAACCAAAACATTTCCAAGATTTCTATGCAAATGAAAACCAGAATGACACCGGGGCTGAATTCTCTTTCATAACAAAGAAAGTCACTAAAAAGGTGTCCTCTCAACTTTGTTCGGCCTTTCACTGAAACCACTTCATTTCATCTTCACAAAAGAAAGCAAGGTGGCCAGCAGTTTGCTGCTTGGGCTTCGCAATAAATTTTTTTTTGTATCTATTAACATGCCTTTAGACTTTTAAAGTATTATCTACTGACAGCTGTTACATTATTATTCACCTATTTACAATCTGCTTCAAGTTTCAATAACTTCAGTGGATAAAAAAATGACATGGAATTATAAATTGAAGCATTCAATCTGAAATGGGAATTTGGTCAACCTGTTTCAAGGTCTCACAGCTAATACAAAATATTAAGTGCTCTGGGTTACAGGTAAAATTGATCTAAGCAACAGTCTTTTGACTGATGATATTAGATGCGTTATTGAAGGGATAATCACATTTTCCCTCACTTCATATCAGTATTAAATTCATGGCTTCTGAATCATTTCAAATCTGAATTCTAAATAATGTAAAATTACTGTAGCAGAACGTTAAGTCACACTTAATATATCTAATACTTTCAACTTTCTGCAATTCTCATTTTTCTTTAACATATGGAGGTCCCAATCAATTGGAAATAGACAAAGTTTTCAAGGAAATGTGAAGAGATTAATGTGGTTTAAAGGAGGGCTTGACATTACTGAGGCTATTTTCTAAACAAAAGTCACCAGAGTCCCTCCTACGCCTTCGTCAGTCCTAACGGGTTCGTGGAGCTGTGGCGACAACTCTCCTTCAGTTACAAGACTGGGAGACCGTTTTTTTCTTTTCTTTTTAAGTGACCTAGTATATCTTTTTTTTCCTTTGTATTAAAAAAACCCCAAACAGAAAATAATGCTGATATAGGAATAAATTTTCACACTGAGAAGTGAGAACACAATCCTAATCTTATTTATAGTTGATACCTGAACCTGTTTACTATTCTTAATTAAAGAAAGACACTACTGTTTTTAGTATAAAACACTTAGCTAAATCCTATCTTTTGCCAGGTGTTTTTGTTCCTACAGATGTCCAAGACAGGGAAGAAATCTAGCCATCAGCAACTAAGTCACTTACGTGTGCTATCCTCAGGTACCAAGGGCGTAGGGGCTGCGGGCAGGAGACCCCTGTCCTGGCTGAGCAACACCCAAAACCCTATGTTCTCTGGCTCTCACGGCACTTGGCCCAAAACTAAAGGGCAGAGGAGCATCGGAGCTCCAATGACACTTGCTGCTCCAATGACAATGAGCTGGTGGAAGAACATAATATTTTACATATGCAATCCTCTCCAAGGATGAGTACGCATAAAGCATTGTCGAAAAGTAATTCCCAGAGACATGCTTTGGTATCTAAACAAAATACTGCGAAGGCAGAAACCTACACATTAAGAACTAGGATAAACCACTCATAAACAGCCTACCAATTACATAACACTAGTTGATACGACCATCAAAATATTACCATCTATCAAAAAAACCAAGAGAGATGATAAAGGACCTGAGCGGCTGCAAGGTGGTTTAGCAGCGAAGATAAAGCACAGTAGAGGAAGACTGCGGTACCACGAAGCATCTAAGAACACTGAACACTCCTATGAAAGTGGTAATGGGAGACCCGTGGGCTTGTTCCTGAAGATTTTGGGGGTGAGTGGTTGCTTAATGGGGGGGTACATCTATCATTAAAGAAGACTTAGGTGAATGCCATTCAGAAGATACCACCCTTTCCCACCACCAAAGAAAATATAATAAAAGAATGTTTTTATAAATATATCTAAGACACTAGATCCATCACACTCAGAACAGTCCCCATCTTCTGCTGCCAGATGCAGAACGATCGATAGGAATTTTTTAAACTGCCCCCATTTTCAGGCCAGGTCTGTGTGACAAACAAAGACATACACAGTTTCTCAATTCTTAGTGAGAACCAAAAACACCTGTCATTTCGAGATACCGTGACACAGAAAGCTTAGTGCAGTGGAAAATATTCTACATTGCAGCAGCATTTACAGCCAAGAAGATTCCTAGACAGCCCAAAGGCCAGAGAAGAAACCTGAACAGTGCTGGCTCCTCAAGCCCACGGCAGGGCCGCTCCAAAATGAAGCTTTCCCTGGCAAACACAGTATCTATGCCAAAGAGCATTCCAACTAACAACAGTGCAGTCCCGGCTGTGGAGGAATCGAGCATCGATTTGTAAATGTCTGACATACAACTGGAAAAAAATTTGAAAGAATAAAACTGTAGGGACTTACATACCTCCATATCTGGCCTAAACTTATCTTCAAACACAGCCATTGCTGCCAAGGAGCCAGAACCTGTAAGAAAAAGATGCATTTTTAGTGTATTTACCAACTCCCGGCTTCTCAAGTTTACCTCGAGGCAGCAAAAATGGCAAAACATGCCCAATGTCACATTCAAGTACAGTGTAAATATTAATCCTATAGGGCCACATAAACCAGGTAAACACTGCTCTTCAAAAGCCTGGAGTCACACTTACCACTATCCTGGGTACACCTGCAACTGGCCCTACTTCTACTACTCACAGGAGTAATTGTAAATTATTCACAATAAAATGCTGAAGCAGGAAAATGAGGTTATAGAGAATTTGTATTTTTTCAAAAAGTGAATGCCACATAATTTCATATCTCCTATGCTGTGAGTCTTATGCTCCACAACTGTGCCTTGGCAGGCGGCTGGGTATGGCACTAAATATCAAGCCAGTTAGAAAGAATAGACTGTTTTAATGAGCTGGCCCTGGTAGAGTCACCTTGACATGTGGGGAAGAAACTAAAGCACCAGCAATGGTAATAGGACTGTGAGCTGCAGCCACCAGGTTATTCCAGCTACAACTGTAAAACACTTTATTATGTGGCATTTATTTGGAGCTATTATTTTTAGTTTGTACTTTGAAGAGTAACAGCTGAGTAGACAAAATGACAGACAAAGAAACAAAAATTTATTATCACAATAGTGAATGGCTGAAAGGTTATGCTGCATAGATATTAACAGATAGCAAATTTCTACCAACAAAAGTAAGATGTAAAGTAAAGGCATTACAAATAAGTATGGGCTCCCTCTGAATGGATATAAAAGGCAGCTCAGCACTATTTGAAATTTTAAATTAAACTTGCTTTGTTCAGAAACCAGAGAACCTTTAGAAAACCATCATCTTGTCTTTACAGGGGCCTGGCAATATTTCAGGATACTCTACTTTTGGAGAGAAGATAGAGTTGCCCACAATTTTTTACTCCAATTAGAAGATTTTTTTGGCATTTATTACTTTTTAACTTGTTTTGCATAACACTATCTATTTAGCTGGGTCACAGAGAAAACCATATTTTCTATTTAAAATGATTTGTGTACATCGCTTGACCACCTCAATGGTTTAGCAAAGGAAAAAGGCAGCGATTAAACAGTTTCAAATGAGGTGTCCTGCTGATTTTATCAAGTCTGCTGAATGTATAATGAAAAAGGAGAAGCTGACAGCAATGCTGCATTGAGAAAATACAGACTACCTTATCTGAACCATTTAAGGAGGTCCAATTATAGATCAAATTTAAAGGGTAGAAACAGCAGATTTACAGACACAAATCAATGAACATGGTAATCCCAATGAATATGACAGATACTCCTGTTATGGAATATTGCCGTGGTTGAGGATCATTACCTTCACAGCACCGGATACATCACATCTAAAGCAGTAGGAAGCGTCAAGTGTAGACCGGCATTACAAGCAATGACTATTCATTTAGGCTTTGGGAGCAAAAGGCAACCCCATTTTCCCCTCTCAGAATTTTTTTCTCCTTAAAAAAATGGGGTGGGAGGTATCTAAAGAGATATTAAAAGCCATTTGGAAAGGATGGAAATTAAACAGGTATTAGACTAGAGCACCCAAATAAAACCAGGATATATACAAGGGCAAATTCACCAAAACCAAGCCTCTGACTTTCACAGTAAACGTGTCATTGAAAATCTGGAAACAGAATCCAAGTCCACCAGTATTCTGTGAGTCACATGTTTACCCTGAGATTCAGGAATCAAGAAAGTAACCTAAGTGTCTGGTTTTTTTTAAGGCACAGGTGAGAACCCATATCAGACTTAGTAAAAAAAAAAAAAAAAAAAAAAAAAAAAAAAACAGCAGTTTTGTATGGAAAACAAAGGACAGCTGTCATGAAGAAACAAGGAAATTGCAAATAAGGAAATCTCAGGGAAAAAAAAAATACTTCTAAATACAAAATGCTCCTGGCAAAGCACCCAACATCAGGCTTGCCTCCTCTAACCCAGTCCAAGACCATCTCTGTGAGGAGCCCAAGGGTAAATGCACCAGAGGCCTGCAACAACCATTAAAAAAGGATAAGGGAAGGGCGAGTATTTACCCAAGAGCCAACAACTTTGTGGAAAACTGGAATCAATCATTGTAAAAAGGAAACCCAAGTTAACTTAAAAGCATTTTTCCTTAAAAAATTACTAACCCTGTTTTTTCTCCTTGGCCATTCTTTCTTTGACAGTCTCACAGTAAATAATTAGTTTGACACTCATTTTTCCTGGCACATATATTTCCTTCTGCTTAGCTCCATCCAACATTTTAAGAAATAAAAAATATTTCCCTCCCAATATAATAATTCTTCCTTTATCAAAAACTTTTTTTCCTGCTTAGAAACAATGCTGCAGATGAAATTTCTATAAATGGAAATGACATGCAAAATCTAAAGTCTTAGAACAAAAAGTGCCTGTCCAGTGTGGGGATGGCTCTTACATTATCAGAGACAGTGATTTTTTTTAAGCGCTGGGAGATGTATGACAGGTAAACACAGAAAGGACACAGGGATCCTTATCACATTGTATTTCTGCTTCCCTTTTTACACCACGCCCTTCAACACATACTCCAACCTACACACACACAAGTGTACACACACACACACATGTGAACACACACATACACACACAGTTTCTGGATAGCAGGAGCTTGCTAAACTGCATGATTCTGCTTCCCCTGAGATCAAAGATAAGCAAACTCCAAATAAACTTGAAATAAAGAAAAATTCAACATTAAAAACAAGTTCTAAATCACTTGCAAATCAGCTCCTGCTCCCAGTTTTTTAGGAAAGGAGGACTTTGGCGCCCCCTTTTCAGAAATACATGGAAGTGCTAGGACAACTGACTGTCAACAGGTTTCCAGGAAACTGAGTGTGTGTCTGCTCTGCATGTGTGTCTGCTATTTAGAAAACTGAAGTCAGAATTTCATATATGACTGCAGTTGCCCAAAGTGGCAAGAGAACAAGATGCAATTTCTCACGTCATTTCAAGGCCATGTAACTAGAGGAAAGAACAAGGAGCTGGCCATTAAAAAGAAAAAAAAATAGTGAACTCAATGAGACCAGTATTCTTTAATAATTTCACTCAAGTTTCCTAGATTTTGTCTCGACACCACTTAAAACTCCATGTATACAATAAATTGTCAGACAGATGCCATACTAGCATAGTATCCATGTGACCTACAAAACATTTAAATATTCTATCCCATTTTCCCCAGAAACTATAATAATGTCCTGAGACATTCCATTATTTCAGCATCAACCTACCTAACCTGGCACTTTCATACCCAAAATCAAGGCAAAAGTCTTTTGAAGGAACACTTACCCTGATTTTCTGCTCCTAAAGCATCACCTTGATCAGTCAGAAGTGCCCGGTTTCCCGTTAAGAAATAAATGAACAGAAAAGCTAGGGGACAGTGTACACGGTACAAGGGCCTCTGCTTTACATGGCAGGCACGGCAGGCGAAGGAAACGCGTATCAAGGGGATGTGCTTTCCGCCAGTGCAGGAGGAGCTCCAGCAACAAGGGGTGAGGCCTGCCCTCGAAGAACTTACAGAGGGAGGAGCAGGGAGCCAAGGGGGAAGAAACAAGCACTGTATCGAGCATCCACCAGTGTGCCACACATCATGTCATTTGATCATCCTCAGAGCAACCCATTACAGTGACAAAGCTTCCAGTTTAGGATTACAGAACAAGTACAGGGCAAGATTTCTGTCTCAGGTGTGATCCTATGTCACTCTCTCCTACACAAAGTTCTACATGCCACATCAGTTCAGAGCAGACACACGTGACCTTCCATGACCAGGTCTCTGTCTCCCTCGGCCCCCTCTTCCTCCCCAAAACACACACACTTGACACTCCCCCAGCACTAAATTGACAATAATTTCCTAAATGCTCATACTATTTCAAGCGTATCCCACCTTGGCATATAGTAGTTTTTGCCCCTTGATAGTCAGTTCACAGAACTCCTAGTCACCCTTCAAGTCCCAGCTGAGAGATCACCTCTTCCCAGAAGCTTTCCTTGACCACCACGCGCCCATGAGAGTTTATCACTCTCATCGACGCAACTTGCCCATCCTTTCACATCTGCCTCCCTCACGCTGGCTGTCTGGCGCACAGCAAGTGCTAAATGGAATCTGTTCAATTAAATCGGGCTGATTTGAGCACAACTGTCCAAACAGAAGAGTTGGGGAAACTCTGAGCTGGCCCTCAAGGAGCAGTGACAGTAGTAAATGCCTTGATAAAGTGTAAGAGAACATTTACTGCCTAATTTACCATACTGGGATGAATATAAGACAAACTCAAATGTAAAGCAAGTTCAATTTTCAAAAAGAAAAAAATCCACAAAACCATGTCCTATTATGCATCCTAGTCTGGTCCAAACCTCTGTGATGATATCACAGGAGTGAAATCCTTGGATTTCTGCATTTTATTACCAATGCTGTCTCATCAGTAGCTCCCATGTAGCTGCTCCTTAGCAACCTCCACCAAATCTGCCTTTATCAGCCCACCCACAGTTACTGAGTAGCCAGTGTGGCTTCCAGAACAAAGCTCTTTAAACAGAAAACCGAGGTACAACTCAGTGACCAGCATTTAAAAAGAAGACTGCGTAAGACACAGTGATGGCTACCTTGTTACCCACTGACTTACCTCCAGCATCCACTGTCCTCCAAGCTCACCCATGTGACCCCCACACACACACCCTGCTCAACCACTCCCAACTCCCAAAGTACCCAGCACCAAACCACCCAACAGCCAGAGCTGTGGGGAGAGACAGGGCTGGGGGAAGGACACACAACTGCTCTGCACTCTCGACCCACTGCAGCCACCCAGGCAGGCACCGCTTCGTACTGGCTGCCCCGTTTGGTGTCATTAAAAGAATTCCTCCTGCAACAGATGCCCCTGTGAGTCTCGGAAAGCAGCCTGCTTCCCGTCCCTGTCAGGGCCTGCCTCATCCACACACCTTCAAGATGACACTGTGAGTTGCCCACATTGCTGAC